GGATATGTTGATGATGTAGGTAATGATCTCAAAACACTAGCTTCTTGCTGTCGATTTATTTCTTCAGGATTCCACTTTTTACGGTTTCACGATAGACAAAGGTTATCTAGTTGCTTTGTCATTTCAGTTTTATCTTCAAAAAAACTGATGTCTTTTTTTAAAATGAACAATTTCTCTTCGAATTCTTTTAATTTGAGTTTATAGTATTTCGATGACATTTCGGTTGATACTGAGAGTTTTTATGTAGATCACCGATAAATAGGTGAGATGTAAGCAAAATTAAAATCTTCTTGGTCCACTTCTACTGATGATGTCAACTTGGTTAACGAAGATGCTGCTCAGTGTTCTTCTGACATGTTGGATCACACGTTAAAACGTTAGACCCTCGTTACCATTCTTTTTTTCTCAAATGATATGTTTTAAGGCACCCTGTAGAATTTTTCCGTTATATTCATCTTGATTAACTGCTCCTGATTATGCTAACTTGGTTAATGAAAATGCTGCTCAGTGTCCTTCTGGCATGTTGGATCGCACGCTAAAACGATAGAGCCCCGATAAACTGGCATGTTTTATCTTAAATCATGGTAGCCATTTTTTTACGTAAGTAGCCATTTTTTTTCTTTACCGCTGTACTGAATGTCTGCCGTTATGTTTTTTCTTCAAGACGATTTTTCCTTCATTATTATTATTATACCATTATTTTTATAATTCAACCGTGTTGCTATCACGCTTAATTTTTTACGCACCAACTCGAACAGCTCTTACTGTCCTTCTGACATGTCGAATCGCACGTTGAAACATTTGACCCTGCTAATCATCGCCGTTGACGACGTCATTTTTCCCACGCTCAATTTAAAAAAACCGGCAACACCTCACAAGCCACATCGCCCCCATAAACAACGCTTTATTTTACATCCGACATCACCGAACTGTTTGCGCTGCTATCTTTGAAACTGATCAGCTCGCTACCATCTCCATCTCTCTCACACTCATATGAAAAACCGACCCCTCTCACTTCTACACACACGCTCTTATGAAAACCCATCCTCTCGCTCTGACACACACACTCTTATGCAAAAACAAATTTGAGGTTATGTGCAAACATTGAGGCACCTTCCGCCTTGTATTTTGTATGTCTACTTCATTGACCGTATGTTGGTATGTCTCAAACAAAATTATTTTCAATTTAACAATAATATTCATTTCTCCTCAAAAGGTTTAACTATGGGAAATTTATCAAGCCCTTTACCTACTTGCAGAAATTTCCATGGATAATCTAGAGAAGTCGATCTTTAAACACCCTTTGATTAAGAATTTCTTGTATTGGCATAGATATGTGGATGACGTTTTGGTATGTTTTACAGATACNAGCAATGGAAATTATTCAACTTAAAAATTCAAACATTCTAATGAATGACCAACTGGATTTGAATAGATCACCATTATTAAGCTTGTTTTCTTGAAAACCGAGAAAGAATTATTATTGATGAAGATGTGAGGTAATATGCTTCATGTGATGATAATCGAAGAGGTACCTTAGGTAGAGGTTTAGGTAATTTTTCGAAGGTAGTCTCAATTATGGTTACCTGTCGTATATAAATATTGGTGTAGGATGCAACCTGAAGTATTCAAATCACTTGATAAAGCTACTGTGTTAGCGAAACATGTTGTGATATATATTTTTCAAATAAAGTTTGTAGAGATCAAATCGTGAGGGGTAGTTTATGAAATTCACTGCGTGAGTAGGTATGGGGAAATTAAGTCTATAAATTATCCTTTTTCTGATTAATCACCGTCTTCTGACAAAAACGTATTTTCACATCTATATTCAAATGTGAAAAACAATCTAGTTCAACTGAGATCTAATGGCAAATTTCATATATTTTTTTCAAGACCGGTTCACTGGAAGGACAAAACGCTATCATCAATAAAGTGAAGATTCCGTTGAGCGAGCAGCAGTTGCTCGATTGCTCCACTAGTTATGGAAATGGCGATTGTATTGATGGTGGTCTTATGACTAATGCTTTCGATTACATCAAGGACTATGGAATCGAGGCTGAATCTTCTTACCCTTACAAGGACGAACAGTCCACTTGTCAATTCAATGACGAAAAAAGTGTTCTCAGAATCAAGGGATATAAAAAATTGCGATCGTATGAATCAGAACTCAAAAACGCAGTAGGTAAGTTGACTTTGATACTATGAATAATGGAGGAGGAATAAAAGAGAAGAGCAAAACTTCTTTGAAACCCCTAATTGCCTATACAAGCAGAACAGTTCATTGAGGTTATTTGAAGTGATTTGATATTCTTTTCCAGCTCCAGTTTGGATCCATAACGAATCAAATATTGCAGAAACTGTGAAATAAAAATCTTTTCAGAATAACGTTTATCATCACTGCCCCAATTTCGAAGATTTTTCTTCATAAGTGAAATGAAATTATAAATGACCATAATACTTGCTTCTCGTAGGTACCATCGGTCCCATATCAGTAGGAATTCAGTCAAATTCTTTGCAATTATATGCCGGAGGAATCTTCAATGGCGGGTGTATAGGTCCATTGAATCACGCAGTTCTTGTCGTTGGATATGGTGCAGAAGACGGGAAGAAGTTCTGGAAGGTGAAGAATTCCTGGGGCAGCAAATGGGGAGAAAGTGGATTCTTCAGAATCGTGAGAGATGCTTTCAATATGTGTGGTATTGCTTCTTCGACTTCCTACCCACTTCTCTAGTGATA